GTAGAAAACAAAAATCTGCATTAAAGAGCTTCAAGTTTAAGAAAATAGTTTTCTTCTTAGTGATATTGTGTAACCCTCTACAGTTAAGAGAAACAATAGATAAAGACATAGAACAAGAGTGAATATGAAACAAGTAAAAAATTAAACAAATAAACCAGAAGATTCCTATAAAAAATATAGCAAATCTTAAGCAAACACAGCAAATTTATCCCAGGATGAGAACAGCAATCCCTTTTAACACATATATTGGTACTGTATATTTGTAAAACAGAACAATTTAACAGTAGTCTTAGTCTCTATCAGTTCTTTAGCCAACATAAGCAAAAATAATGTATTTTCTTTTTTTATCTAAAGAGAGAAAAAGTGTTTTGTTTCTTTTATAAAAGTATTACATTAATCAATGTGACTGGAGTCTGAATCCCTTTCATGTTATCGATTCAAGTAATGAAAAGAAAATGTCTCCCTTTAAAATTAAAAGAAAAATAAGCAAATATTGCATCTCCTCTGAAAGTTCAAATCAACAAAACTGAATTTGAATACCTGTTTCTTTTCAGTCTATAAACCAAAAATATGGAAAAAAAAATATCTTCAATTCTAATTCAGAGAGAGACGGGAAAAGGTGTTACTGTTTCTTGCATAAATTAAAAATATTTAAACAGGTCTTTTGTTCCAGTTTTTACAAAAATGAAAAGGAGAGTACTTTTGTACTGAAAGGGGCAACCCAAGCTCATTCTGGAAACGTAGCCCCGCGGACGTTTCTGGAGACAGCGATTTACGTGGCCGGAGGTACGTAAGGCCACGTTTAGTTGTTTTCGAGCGAACGCTGCCCCTCCTCTTCGCGCTCGCTGGCCGATGGCTCGCCTCCGAGTGGAGGGCTTTCCCAATGCAACAGATCAAGGATCTGTCAAATCATCTTAGATTCCTTAAGCATGGTATAAACAGACCCTTTATCATGTTAAATAATCAATAATCATATCCAGTTTACTGAGGAATCCACATATGACGAACAGACCCCTGATCTCCTGTTGAGTGCATTCCCTGTGTGCTTTTTGCTCTGTCACCTTATTTGTCACCATAGTTCCCTGGTTTTTCCCATGGACACTATTATTCCTTGTTCAGAATTGCCTCCTTGTCATCAAGCATATATCCTCTTAGCACTTATGCTCACTTTGTACACACACCCAGTTTTTTCAGGGTTTTTTGTGTTAATTTGAAGTAGTTTTTCCATTTTTTTGTGTTTTTTTTCCGTTATATCATTATGAGGACCACCATTGAGAGCAGCCTTTAGTACAGTAATAACAGAGTATTATGTATATGACTTTATCAACAAAAAAAGGCAATGTAGCCATTTTAGTCCAAACTAATTAAATAATTACCAGCTACATTAGCATAGCAGCATTGGTCCTCTACCATAGTTGGATCACCCAGTCAGGTTTTCATTATGCATATTGTATCTGAACATCTTTGTGCACAAATATTATCTGGCCATGTCTGTCAGGGCTCTGTCTTTTTTATCTGTTTAATTTTTAGCTTTGTGACAGAACTCTGACACCCCCATTTACAGTTTTTTACAATGGCTATGACACTTTTTTCAATACATTTAACAAGTTTTCTAAACTCTTAACACGGTTAGCACAACATCCGTCTTCGTGGTCTATACAGTTAACACAATTCTTGTTGTTTTGACACAAAATGCATCCAGTTAACACCAATTTAAAATGCTTAAACTTCTTTTACACATAAGCACAACCATGACCAAAACAATGTAATTGTACAGTCAAATTTACAAATGCTTTAACACAGTATGTCAGAACAGATAACACCATGTTCTAAACAGAAATTATATAGGATAAAGTCAAAGTAAACAGCTGTTCTAATTTTGAATTTAAACAAATATATTCACTGTATTTTATTTCATTGCCAATGAGAAACAGCTTATTGCAGTTGTGTGTATATATAATATATATATATATATATATACACATATAATTCCCATCTAGAAAGCACATGATCATATGTTGTAAAAAAGGACTCTTAATTTTTTTTAAAAGAAAAGTGAGTGCATCAAAGAACTCCATTACCAATATATCCAGGTAAGGTTATGCAATACAGTCACTACTGTACTATACACAGTGTGTTTTGCAGTAAACTACTCTACTAAACTGGAGTTCATTAGCACATACAGTAGATATACAATACAGCATTTGCACACACTGTGTCTAATTACTTTCAGAGAGTCATGAAGTTGGAGTTCAATCGTGTACCACATGAAATTATCTGTTGACAAGGCTGTGGATGTCGCTGTGGGAGAAACATAATAAAGAAAAGGGCAATAGTTACCATGTCGCGCCATAGAAGATATCTAGTGTAATGTGGATGAGAACATGTGGCAGAAGACCAGGCAGAATAGAAGATTACTTTTTTTTTTTTTTTTTTGTAATTGCAGTGCTTTTTTTTCATCTTGCAGTGAAATCCTTTTGCAAATAACGTCTGTACTGCAGCATATCTGTGTCTGTATTTTTTTTACATAAACTGTACAAAGCATAAACTGTTATTAAGCATTTTTTTTCTTTATTTTTATATTGAATTTTTGCAGTAAAAGAAAGAAAATGCATTTACTAAACCCAACAAAACAAAACTGTAGAGAGACTTCAAATATAAGGGCAGAGCTGACACATAAACTAATGCAGTTTCTGTAATTTTAACTGATGCTGGTGTTTTTATTGTCAGGGTTTTCTGATTGACTGAATGTTTCTGTTGGAAGAGAACATGTGTTTGTGTTTTGAACAATAATTTCATTTTGAAACATGTTTACAGTGTTTTGTTAGACATGGTGTAGTGTATTAGTTGATTATTGTATTTTGAAAAGTAGTTTAGAGGTTTAGTTCACAGTGTGTGATTTTGAGCATGAAATTAACTGTTTTGTCAATTGTGTGTTTTGTGTTGCTGCATTACGAGTTTAGCAAACTTGTTAAATGTATTGAAAAAACTGTCATAGCCATTGTAAAAAAAAACTGTAATCCGTCTTCTTACATGTATTTGAGTTCATTCGGACCATGTACTCTTGTCTGTGATTTCTTGTTGTGAGCGCATGGTTTTGAGTTATCTTGAGTTGTGTGCTCATGCCTGTTATTTCTGTCAGGTGTGCGGGGCATGGTGTTCAGATACTGGCACTTCTATTGTGGTTTCAGTTTTGTGTTAGGGTTCAGATTCTCTGTCTCTCTGTCTGCTCTGTTTGGTGTTTTGCTTCTGTCTGATGTTTTGGGGTCTTTGCATGCGAGTTGTTTACAGCCACATGCATCTTGTGTTTATTGGCAGTGTGCTTTTGTTTTGTGTTAGCACATGGCTTGAATTGTGTTCTGTTTGCCCTGTGCTCTCATTTATTAGGGCCTGTTCATACCTGGTCACATCATGCATTTTTCTTATAGCTATCCGATTTGCTATGCAAAAATCGGAAAATGGCTCCATTTAGACTTAAATGGATGTGATCTTCAAATCCTGCGTTATATGCAAATTTAGGTTATATTGACTAAAGCATCAGATACAGCACTTTTTTATGAATATATTCTTATTTCCAGAAAGGTATGCTATATATATGTTGTTTGAATACAAATTATTTCATATGCAGTTTTTAAAACATTCCATGCACATGAGGCAGGTTTTTATTTTATTATCTATTATCTATTTTTGTCATGTGTGCAAGACATCATTCATAACTGTAATGGTAATGTCATGTAATTTGTGTATAACATACTTTCCCAAAAACAAAACAACATGCCTTTGTAAAAGAACGCATTTTTAAAGTATTATTATTCATCTCTTTTTACAGATACGTTTACATACTTAGTAAATAAACTAAAAACTATTTAAAACAGAGCATGCACTGTACCCTGACTGGTTTTATGCATTCATAAATACAAAATGAACAAATGACTTCTCAAAAGTTGAGTAAAAAGTAAGATTACTGACTTTTATTTAGTAAAGTAGCAGTCTTCTTAAGTGGTAGTACCTCAGTAAGGGAAGTTTATTCATTCTTGTCGGCTTAGTCCCTTTATTAATCCGGGGTCGCCACAGCGGAATGAACCGCCATCTTATCCAGCAAGTTTTTACGCAGCGGATGCCCTTCCGGCCGCAACCCATCTCTGGGAAACATCCACACACACATTCATACACTACGGACAATTTAGCCTACCCAATTCACCTGTACCGCATGTGTTTGGACTGTGGGGGAAACCGGAGCACCCGGAGGAAAACCACACAAAGGCAGGGAGAACATGCAAACTCCACACAGAAACGCCAACTGAGCTGAGGTTCGAACCAGCGACCTTTCTTGCTGTGAGGCGACAGCACTACCTACTGCGCCCAAGTTGGCAGCTCAAGTTTATTTACAAATTAATTTTAAGAGGATCCCGCATTATCCAATTTATGATGCACCAATCAGATGATTCCTAAGCCACTATAAATACCCTAAGTTCCATATGACAGCCATCTTCATTTTGATGAATCCCTCTTTCACCCCTTCTCCTCCTTTCCTAGATTGGTGGCACGGTGGCCCAGTGGTTTTGTCCACTGGTTAGTACTGTTGCCTCACAGAAAGAATGTCACTGGTTCTAGTCCTTACCAAGCCAGCCAACGTTTCTGAGCAGAGTTTACACATTCCGTGCTCAAAAATATGCAACTTAAGTTAATTGACTAATCCAAAATCAGCACTATAGACATGCTCCTAGTAAGTAGTTATCTCTTAAGAGCAATCCCTATCTGTCCATTAGCTACTATAGCAGGGTAGTTCTCGAGATCTACCTGGGACAGTATGCCAAACAAGCTTTATAATCAATCATCAGCTAAGTGTGAACCCTTGAAAGTACAGGTATGCGAAAAGCTGCTTAAGTGAAGTAACAAATTACATGTACTTCTTTACCGTCCATCATTGTAAAGAGCTACAGTTGTTGCCAGCTTGAGTGTCATAACTGAAGTTATTGTTTTTCTCTAACTTCTTTCAGCTCTTCTACCTGTTCCTGACATCAAGTATTCTCAATGTTCTTCATCCTCATCTTCATCAATGCAGAATTGTTCAGTGCTGTGTTCAGTGAATGTGAGCGCTGTGAGTCTCTCCTGGTACAAAGGAAACAGTTCATTGTCCAGCATCAGTGTGTCTGATCTCAACAGCAGTCGCTCTCTACCTCTGGAGGTGGAATATCAGGATAACAACACCTACAGCTGTGTGATCAACAACACCATCAGCAACCAGACCACACAACTGGACATCAACACACTCTGTCAGAAGTGTAAAGGTATATCTCTAATATATATATATATATATATATATATATATATATATATATATATATATATATA